TGCTCAAGACTTCACTTGGAATACTTAGCATCCTAATCGATCTTACATTCGAATCACTCATTACAGGTGAGTTCATACCCCTAAACTTATCTTTTAAATGATTTTAAATGCTTTTGCAGGGGGGGGGGGTGAATACAAGTAGAAAACAATATAGTTATAGTATCAATCGCATGTGATTTATAACTATCAAACAAGAGAATTTCTTATATTTCAAAACTGTGTTATCAAACAAACTGTTTCAAATCATTTTATAAACTGACATCAAGTCATCAATGACCATTCAAATGGTTAAAACTCTTTTATATGATAAACTCCTTATCGTTTTACAAAACTCTTTTAAACTTATATATTGTCAAAATCATGTCTATATAGATATTGTTATATAAATAAGGTTGAAAGGGCTTAGGACTGATAACTCGCTTTATTTCATGTTCCTTGTTTGGTTGTAGACTTAGGGTGTCGGTTGTTTATCCGAGTGTCGTTTAAATCTTAGTTATATATTATGTGTATGTATGTAGATATAAAAGTTCTTCCAATCAGTTCAATACCTTTGGGTAGCAAAGGTGTACAAACATGATCAGTCATTCAAACAATAGTACTAGTAAACTATAATAGGCATAGTTTAGAGGATTACTACTCACTACTTCTAGAACAATGAAACTTACAAGAGTCAGCTCATGCATGAGTCAGTTCAAACATACTATAACAAGAATAGAAAGAACATACTATACACTAGAACAGAAGGAACATACTATACACTAGAACAGAAGGAACATACTATACACTAGAACAGAAGGAACATATACACTACTAGAAAAACAACCTTTTACGAAGCGCAATGCATGTCGTAAAACACTCAGACGACGCAAAAATGCGTGTCAAGGAAGGCCCTGTCATAACGAGAGATGACACGCTTTTGCGCGTCGTCTATTTACGACGCGTATTTACGACGCGCATTTATGACACGCATTTACGACGCGCAGTTATGACATGCAATACGTATCAAGGAAGGCCCTGTTGTAAAGGAAGACGACACGCATTTGCGTGTCGTAACGTTACGACGTGCGTGTTTATGACACGCAATGCGTATCAAGGAAGCCCTTGTCATAAAGGAAGACGACACACACTTTTGCGTGTCATAATTTTAAATGTTTTTTGTGACAACCGTCAATTTCAAGTCAAAGTCAAAGTCAAAGTCAACAAGTCAAACCGGTCAAACTTAACTAGTACTTCTATGTTAAAAGTTATTCTATGTATAAAAATGTGTATTTGTATGTCAAGAATTCAAGTGTCTCGGAAAATTTATGTGTTTAACAATGTAAAACCCTAAGAAGGGAGTTAAATGCATCAAAACTCGACTACGGACCCTTTTGGGGACTTAAACTAATCATAAACAAAGCATAAAGGGGTTCACGAACCTTGCATTACGAGGCTATCCAATAATATTGACTAAAAATAAATCTCTCCCAAACCTCTCTCAAAATCTCTCTCAACTTTTTATAGTCATCCGGGTCATCCCGACCCTTAACTTGGCCAAAAATCACTCAAAACGGGAAGTTTACTTGAAAAACAGCCCTATAGGACCGAAACCCTAATAGAACTGAACCTCATGGAAGCGAAACCCTAAGAAGCGAAACACCTCATTTGGACCGAAGCTTCTTATGGCCGAACTGCTTAAGAACCGAAGGTCCCTTTCAGAACCGAACTTAGCCTCCTCGGACCGAACCTACCTGAGGACCGAAGTCAGCAGGACCGAAACCTCATTCAAACCGAAATGAACCGAGCCTTCGGTCCATTTCGCTTCCATCTCCCTTCGGACCCGAGACCCACCTTCGCTCCTATCACCTTCGGACCCGAGCCCTCCTTCGGTTCCTTCTTCTCACTCTCGGTCCTCAACACCAAAGAACCGAACCCTCGCAGGTTCGCTCCTTTTGTCCGGTTTTCGACTACTTTCGCCTGTTAAGCCCGTTTTTGACGATTTTGACGGTGATTTTTCACCAAATTCATATTTTTAGTATTTTAAACTCCATAAACTCATATTTTAATCACATCCTAAGGATTTATTAATTATAAATCATTATTTTTCATTAATGAAAATAGCTTAGGATATTTTATGTTACAAGTGGGTCAAGTGTGCCCACTTGCCTCCATGTGTCACCTTCTCATTAGCCCAACCCTATCCACATCACACAAACCAAGGCAAACATCCTCTCATCTTTTCAACTTGCTCCAACCTCTATATAAGGAAATCCCTGGAAGACTTCTTGATTTCCTTGATCATTTTCTTCACCATCAAACACTTACACACTTCTTAACCATCAAGAGAGCCTCTTTTTCTCTCAACTTCCAGCCCCACTTTTGAAGTGTTCTTGAGTTATTTATTCACTTATTTGTAAGTATTTACTTCTAACTCAAGTGCTATTACATATTTTCATAACATTCTTGAATCATCTACACACATATTAACACGAAATCGTTCATAGGATCATCCAAACACTTCGTGTGTTCATCAAGTGTTCTTGACTTGAAACTCATCGTCTTCAACCTTCCATCCTTCAAGAAATCACATAAGGTGAGTTCATACCCCTATATTTTCTGGTTCTCTTTAGTTTTCAGGGGGGGGGGAATACAAGTTAAAACACCAAAAACTTAACTAAACTCAAACATCATCTTTCAACGGAAAAGTTGAGTTCCATTCACGGACTATTTTGACCATCTTAGGCTTAATATCTTTCAAAACTATTTAATATGCGAATAATTCAGGTTTATACCTTTAAAATGACTACTTGCACATCTTCATACGATTTTTCTACAATTTATGGCGATTTTTACAATACAGCCTATCATTTCAGAAACCACTTCGGACCAGTCTGTGAAGTTGGCCCTTTTTACAAAAGTTAAAGGTCACTAAAAATCATTATAAAAATTATGAATAAAATAGACACATTTTTTAGACCCTCAGAGTTTACAGATCTAAATTTGACCTCTGACGATTTTTCTATAAATGTTTCCAATAGCAGGAACAGAAAAGTTAAAAACTATAAATATTTAAAAATCCTATTTACACCTTGTAACTTGCTGAGCAAGGTGTGTAGTATTGTTTGAATACATGTTGTTGATAGTACACATTATCTACCTTAGTTTATCGGTATGAATCATATACAAAGAAGTACTACTACTACTAATGATTATAATAAATTATAATAAGTAAAGTTAAGTCTATTATACACCACAAACAAACATGCTAAACTATAATAGGTATAGTTAGGTTGCATATACAATACAAACATTATGATAAACTATAAATGGTATAGTTTATGTTTCTTTTACATTTCGAATTCATAAGAAAAGTTTTTCATACAAAAAGGGGGTACATTACAAAGTACCGGGTTTTCATATAAACGGGGTACAAATACAAAGTACCGGGGTTATACAAAAAGGGGGTACATTACAAAGTACCGGGTTTTCATATAAATGGGGTACGAATACAAAGTACCATGTTTATACAAAAGGGGTACATTACAAAGTACCGGGTTTTCATATAAACGGGGTACGAATACAAATTACCGGGTTTATACAAAATGGGTACATTACAAAGTACCGGGTTTATACAAAAGGGGTACATTACAAAGTATCGGGTTTACACAATTGGCTTTTATGGTATTAAAACTACTTATACTATTTTAAGTATGGGAATTTACTTACAAAAATGGAGTCTTAATACAATAAAGGCTACAAGCCATCTTCTTAAAAACACAGAATCCACCAGGTTTAACGTCATCATTGGCAAAGTGATGACATCTTCAAACTAGTTTTCTTAATAGCAAAACTACACACTTGTAAACTAAGTATGGTATTTATACTTACATATTTTGGCCTTGGTTCAATTAAGGCTATCACACACTTTACGGAAAATATAGGATTTTCTGGAAACATTAGAGACTTAAGAACCACACAAAAAGGGGTTTTATGCACATACAAAACTACATATGTTATTTGAAGTATGGAGATTTACTTACAAAAATAGTGTCTTAGTAAATACGTATTGGATCCGTTTGATCTAAAAACTTTACTAACATGTACACACCAAGAAATCACACCAGGAACATATTTTGTTTACTAGTATTTCAAATCTTTAAACGTTCTTTAAAAACATGAGAAACACAAATATATTTTGGTCTTAAGACTCAAAGGCAACATTCCATTTTTCCAAAGAACAAAAGGACGTACTCATTTTGAAACAAAAATGCTTATGAACTCACCAGCTTCAATGCTGATACTCTTTCAAACTACTTGTATTCTCAGGAAGCTAGTAAGTCAAGTATGCGTTCAGGTTGCGAGAAGACAGAGCATCATAGCACCAAGTCTTAATTTGCTATTTACTTTTGGAAGTTAAACCTATGTAAATCAATTACAATGTAAACTATATGTTATCAATGGAATGGTTGTTGTTGCTTTGATTACTATTGTACAATTGTTGTGATACTGTGCATGACGTCCTCTGCCCCCGAACATTTCCGCCGTTCCGGTTTGGGGGTGTGACATTTTTAAAATTTTATATTTTTGATAGATTTACTAATTTTCAAATTAAATAACACATTAAAAGTCTCATAATACAAAAATAAATACCATAAACAATAAAGATAATTCATTGCATTAATATATGTCAAATACGAATAATCGTTCCAATAGTAAGTAAATGTAACACATTGCTAATATTGCATAATATTTATTATAGAAAACAAAACATGTACAACATTTAAAGAAACCCATGACTAAATTCTCCTTTGACAATCTCCTTTGACAATTTCCTTTCTAAGAGAATAACCTGAATGCAGAAACTTTGAGAGGCAGCAGGGCATGGAAGGAGGTTGCTAGAGCTGTCAGAACCTGCACAGGGCAAATCAGTATCTTAACGTGCAATACAATACAAGATGATATGATAGAGAAAAGAGAACAGTGAATACACACCTGAAAGTTTGCACCTTCAAAAACCGGATCAAGGGTACTAAGGTCAAGTAGCAAATCAATGAATAACTTGAAATACTGTCTGGGGCCGAATGATGTTTTTTCTCCTCTGCATCCTTTTGAATGAATCTCACAGTCACTGCTAACACCTATTGCAAAAATTGTCAAATAATCTACTGTCCAACATATACAACTAATCGCAAGTCTTGATTCTAATTCGCAATTCTAACCTTTAACAGAAGAGACATCTTGCTTACTCCATGGTCAACAGAGGAGAACTAGCCATACAAAGAAGAAGCAATTATGTTCATGAAAAGCATATATATATATATATATATATATATATATATATATATATATATATAATATATATATATATATATGTATGTATGTATATATAGCTTCAATTTGCTTATTATAGCATCTCACTTCTAAATCAATTTATTACAACATTGTACTTATAATTGAGTGTGTTGCTATAATGAACAATAAAAAGGGAAGTGTGTTGCTATTTGGCATTACCTGATCGGGTTAAGAAGATTCCAAAGCACTCATTTCATCCCTGCCAGCTACCAGATGACTAGCCACCTGTTTCATTAAATAACAAAAGAATACCTCACTTGTTCCTGGGCTAGTATTGACAGCACAATCAATGAATACGCTTCCATCTTGTTTTTGTGTTAAAGACGCAAGTTCAACTAACTCATCATACCATTGTTGGGCCACACCAACCTGCATTCTTTTGAGGTAATATTGGATTAATAAAATCTTTAAGAAAACAGAAGGGCATATTTGTAAATTTTAATTGAACCTTCTCCCCCTCAATTGGATCATAGAATCTTTCGAGCAGATTAACCACCGTTGACTTACCGGACCCAATTTGAAAGTAGGATGTTTAAAAAAACAAATAATCGAATGTACATTGTTATTTATGGAAATATTAAGTTGATGCATTTATTTAAGGTTTTCTTTCTTGGTTTTTTCTATCTCAAACAGAATCCAATGACAAACCCTTACCCACCTGCCAAAACAAATTCGAGTCAAAAATGGTAAAATATTTGCATAAATTAGGATAATTGATTTCAACCAATATATAAAGGAAATATAACATCAAAAATACCCTTCATAGCTTTTCAAATTTGCCAGGCATAACGGTCAATTCACCATTTTTCCACTGCCCTCAAGTGCCTTCACAGCCAAAGGCTCCATGGTCACAAACCACATGAGAGGATAATGTTATTTCCTGTAAAGTACATCATCTCAGTCCACTTTTCTTTTAGATGAAAACAAAAAGTGTAAAAACGAAAAAATTTGCTTGAAGGACCCGGAGCATCTTACTCTCGGTCATGCTATTCACATGAGCATCTTACTCTCGGTTAACTCCACCCTTATGAATGTTTTTGTTTACGATGATGAAAAGGTTATTTTGTTATATGGGACAGATTATTTTTTTAGATGATTAAAACTTTTAAGTAATTTTATATGATGAGTAGTAATTACTAATTAGTAAGAGACTATATTTTGAAAAGCCTCCAAGAAACTACTATTAACTCTTTGTATAATACTATTACAAACCCTTTTTATAAATTTTTGGTTTTATGAAATGATTAAAATTTAAGTTTCAACTCGGGATGCAAATGTGACTAATCCTAATTATTCCAGTCTTTTTCATTCGTGTACTAGTTTTAGTTTTGGACTGTTTTGTTTTTGTCCATATCTTCATTTGTTCCAGTCATTTTACTTTTTGATTCTCTTGTGGCCACAAAATCAGGGTGAAAGACAAAAAATCAAGAATGTTTGACTAATAGTCAAATGCTAAAATACCTAGTCTAAAAGCAATGGAATCTTACAAAAAAGTAATTTACCCTTAGGCAACAGACTAAATAATTAATAAACGAAAAAGTTACTGATATCCCAAACAAGAAGGAAAACTTTGAGACACCAAATTCGCAAACAAACATAACTACTTAACACAGAATTTAATGGAAAATTTTCTAAATTATACTTCCAAAAAATATAATCTCTACATGAGGAAAATGATTGAAAACTGACCTAATTATTATCTCCATCACTAGATGATTCATCTTCTTCATCATAAAGTAATTCTTCTTCTTCTTTTTCTTCTTCATCTTCACTTTCTTCCTCTTGTTAAAAATTTGGCTTTTATCAGCAGCCTTATTAATCTGCTCAAAATTAAATATCATAAAAATATGAACATATTAGATATTTAAATATCAAAAAAATAAATAACCTATGCTGTAAAAGTGTAACACCTCGTTTATTAAATAATTAAATGGATAAAATTAATGAACGGGTAGTAGCCCTAAAATAAATAATTATATATCAAAGGTTGGTCTCGAGGAGCTAATTATCACACTTTAAGAGATTGGGGGTTAAAAGTTTGAGTTCCGGACTCAGTTTCTAAATATCTATGAGGACAGGGGCTCCGTGGTAATTATTTGGATTTAATTTGAAAGGAAAAGAGGTGGAAGGGCTGAATATGTCATAATTAAGATATTGGAGGCTAAGGGGGTAACATAGGGAGCTGAATTGTAAAGATTACAGAAGATGGGGGCTGTTTGGTAATTTATGGGACTTAATTTGTAAGGGATTTCCATGGGTTGGGTTAAAAGGTTAAATATTGGATTGCATTTTTAAAGAAAAGGGAAAGGAGGGGCTGAACTTGCCATTATGGAAACAAGTTTGGGGGATCGGGGTATATAAACCCGTCACCCCCGGTTTTAACCCGAACCCTAAGATGAACATCAGCCGCCACATACACTCTCCATCTTCTCCTCCTAGCCGACATCTCCTCGCCACCACCGTTGTGACTCCTATCGCCGGCAAAGTCGTGAACAAGCTGTGACCGTCGTGAGCTACCGGGAGGACCACTGAAGACCGGAGAAAACCACCAAGACCAGTCGATCCACCGAGGTTGCTGCTGCCTTGCGCAGTTTTTGTTGAAGCCGGAGACACCGAGAAGCGTTGTTGCTACTCCGCTCGCCGACGAGGACGCGAGAAGGCGCCTCCTTCTCCTGTCGCGGCTGCTGTCATCGTGGCTTGCCATCGCCGTCGCCACCTTCTTTGCCTTTTCTCTGTCTCGCCGTCAGCCACGACCTGCCGCCGACATCACCGTCCGATGACTATGTTGCTGCTGTTTCCGTTGAAGATGAATTGTTAGCGGTTTGTGGGTTGTATGCTCGAGTGCGCTGTGTTGCTGCGTGATTGCAAGCCAAAAGGAAACCACCGCCACCACCGTGAGGTGGTGGCTGCCATCGTGAAACCACTGCTACTTTCGCCATGCGCCACCGCCGGCCACCATTAGGTGGTTGTGTGTCTGTTTATTTTTTAGTGTGTGTATGTTATTTGAGATGTTGCATTGTATGATGTAATCTATAAAGGAATAATGGATATGAAACTCAAAACCACCACCATAGGGTGGTGGCTGCCGCCTCTTGCCGCCGTTTCGGGTAGCGGTGTGCTTTGCCTTGTCGTGTTTGAGTCGGTTGGGATGCTTGAAACCCTAATGGGCCCAATGAAGCCCTAATGGGCCTAATGAACCCTAATTGACCAAATGACCTAGCTATTGGGCCTATTGGGCTAAGATGGGTTGGAAACCCTAATTAGGGTTTGGAAAACCCTAATGCCATGAAACCCTAATTTGGGATTTATCGGGACCGCATCGGAATTATTTAATGAACTTAAAATATTAATTGATAATCATTGCAAATTAACCTATGGCCATGTGGGACTTAATGGATTAAGTCCTTAATGGGTTAAGTAGGAAACTTGACCCTAATCATCATTTTATGTGAAACCCTAATTTCACTTGGGCCTTAAGTTGGGCATTTCTATTGGGCTTTAATGATTAGGATAATAATGGGCCATCCAAGAACAAGCTAATGTGCTAAATTAATTTAATGGGTCTAGGGTAAGGCCCATGTAAGGGATTTGGGCCCAACTTGGAAAATTGGGCCATAGATGGGCCATAGTTTGGTCCTTAATGATTATATGATATTGGGCCATTAGAATGTCAAAATGTTGGACTGGAATAAATGGTTGGGCCTTAGAATAAAGCCATGTAAAGGCTTGGGCCCAATTTGGAAAATTGGGCCATATGTTGGGCTTTGATTCCTAGTTTGAGTTTTGGGCCTTTGGATTGGGCCTTGGGCTTGAATCAAGCCAAGATGGGGTAATGTAGCCTGTTACTCCAAGAACTTGTGGCTATGTGTTGGGACCCAATTATTAATTGGGTGATGTTTTGATATTGACAGTTCGGGAATATGTCATCCAGCAGCTAGGATTGTGTCTACGAGACTTCAGCAGTGTGAGGTGAGTTACCTTCCAGTAGGGGTGGGTCTACGGCCACAATGTCGGCCCACCAGTAGGAGTTGTTGTTAGATCATTGTCTTTGTGATAATTGTCCATGTTTGCTACTACCTGTTATGTTTATATGCTAGCATGATATGATGTTATGTGATAGTCGTAGTAGGGGTGAAATAGTCCCCGGTTACCGGTCGATAGGACCGAAGGGGTAGATTAGTACCCCAGCTATGGTAGACAGATTATGATATACGTGGTATAATATTATGTGGTAGTAGTAGGGGGTGAAATAGTCCCCAATTACCGGTCGACAGGACCGAAGGGGTAGGCCAGCACCCAGATATGCTAGTCAGTATGTGATTTATGTGTTTATGCTATGCTTTTATGTGGTAGTGGTAGGGGTGAAATAGTCCCCAGTTACCGGTTGAAAGATACCGAAGGGGAGGCAAGCTCCCGGTTACCGGTTGAAAGATACCGAAGGGGTAGGTCGGGCACCCCGGTATGCGTGACAGTGGGGTAGGTGGAGTACCCCGGTATGCTCAACAGGGTAGGTCGGGCACCCAGATATGCCTGGAAATATGTGATTGTATGGTATGTGGTATGATGGGGGAACTCACTAAGCTTCGTGCTTACGGTTTTCAGTTTTGGTTTCAGGTACTTCGTTTTCAAGAGAAAGGAGTCGGCTCGATCGCAGCGCATCACACTATGTTTTCCGCACATGAGATCTTTGGGATTACACTCTGATATGGTTTATGATAATATGTTTTGATTATTGACATTTTGGTTTTGACATGAGATATTATTATGAATGTTTTTATACTGTTGATTTTATATAATAACTTAATTAAAAAGAAATTTTTGGCCTTGAATTTTGGGATGTTACAAAAAGGTTGTAAGCGTCCTGATAATTGCAGTAATGACTGAATAACCTCCCCTTTTGACTTTGTAAGCTGCAAAGGATTAAAAAAATATTTTAATAAAAACTCCATGAAAATGCAACATTTTTTAAAATGTATTATAAAATATTATTATACCTTGTACAATGAATCCAGTAGTTGTGATGTGGGTTCTTGAGATTTGATATAGTCACTATGATTAATTAATAAGCAACAAACCCATGGAAGAATGCATTGTTCATCTATCGATCTATAACAAAAAAATAAAAAATTATATTTATTTAACATACAAATCTTTATTTCGGGTTTCAAGAGAATTTAGAAAAGAAAGTGGAAATGGTCAACGCTTTTCATTTCATTCCATTCCATTCCATTCTTTCCTAATTCCATTCCATCATACCAAAAGAAACAAACCTTGATTTTCACATGGCCAACAATACTTTCAACAATGTATATGCATCATCAGGTGTCATAGATGAAACAACTGCTATCATCTATTATCAACATGTTCAGAATATAATTATATATAAAAAAAAAGGCTAAGTGAAAAAAAATATAAAAATAAAAATAAAAATAGAAATCTGTTTTTATGGCACACTATCTTCAAGATTAACACCCTTCAAAAGCTTTGATAATTGTATTTTATTAGATGTAGGATCATTATCACTACTGAGAATACCTTCTGTTCTCAACGGATCTTCAAGACACATTGTAAGTTGATCCATTTCCATATTA